GCTGCTGTTTTGTTCCTTCAGTTTTTCCTTTGTTCCTATACTCCTCAGATGAGTGAAATCATTTGGTATTTCTCTTTCTCCGCTTGGCTTATTTCACTGAGCATAATACTCTCCAGCTCCATCCATGTTGCTGCAAATGGTTGGATTTTTCCACTTCTTATGGCTGAGTAGTATTCCATTGTGTATATGTACCACATCTTCTTTATCCATTCATCTACCGATGGACATTTAGGTTGCTTCCAATTCTTGGCTATTGTAAATAGTGCTGCGATAAACATAGGGGTGCATCTGTCTTTCTCAAACTTGATTGCTGCGTTCTTAGGGTAAATTCCTAGGAGTGGAATTCCTGGGTCAAATGGTAGGTCTGTTTTGAGCATTTTGATGAACCTCCAAACTGCTTTCCACAATGGTTGAACTAATTTACATTCCCACCAGCAGTGTAGGAGGGTTCGAATGGGAAGAATTTTGAGGGACAAATCCACAGTAATATGACTGGATTTTAGAAAATGAATAATGTAATACTATTCATCAAAAAAAAAGAAACAAACTACTGATACGACATGAATGAGTGTTGCAGACATCATGTTGAGTGTGAGAAGAAAGATAAAAGGTTACATTTTTATATGATTCCATTTAATCTGATGTTCAATATAGGTTAAACTAATTATTGGTGAAATTAGAACAGCAGAGGCCTGGAAGTAAGGTGAACTGGATAGTATGGAGGAACTTTTTGGAGGTGATGGAGATGTTCTGTGTGTTGATTTGGGTGTGGGTGTATATTTGTCAAAACTTACCAAAGTATATAAATTAAAATATCATAGTGTATAAATTAAACCTCAAATATTATAAAAATAAAAGATTTAAAAAAATTATGCAAATAGGCCTTTAGGTATGGAAACTGGTAAGGGGTATGAAAGATGAATAGACTTTGCCTTATTACTTGCTAATGCCTGGATGCTACAATGTTGTACTGGAAGGGAGCTAGACAGTCATTTTTCCAGTTGTGATTCTGCCTACCTTGTACTTGACATGCAGACTTAAAAAAAAAATCCTTACCTAAGCTATTAAAAAGGAGGAAGTGTATATCTCTTTGGCTGTGGGGAAGGGGGTACCAAAACAAGTACGTTGATGACTATTAGGTTGAAACCTTGGGGGAGGATCTTTTATAGCTTAGAGTCTTTGAAAGCCCCCAGTGCTTAGCATAGTTTAGTGTGTGGAAAGGGATAAGGATGCTACACTGGAAAAGCAGAAGTACAGGACAAATTATCCTGGAAATGTCCAGCACTCTGTGGGTGTAAAAATGATGTGACTTGGAGTAAAGCAAGCTCTGAAGTAGGTCAGAAGACCTGAGTTCTGGTGTCCCTTCTCACTCACCTGTCCTGTGACCTGGCATAGGACCAGGCCATTAGCCTCTCTGGGCCATTGTGTCCTCATCTTTAGGCCTGCCAGTCCCCACAAAGTTATTTTGAAGTTCAAGTATGATTGTAAATATAAACATACTTTAAAGTGCTCTACCATTAAGAAGCAAATATAACATGTTATGACTTATTCAGAGAAGTGGTAGAAAAATCTCAGTAATGAGTATAACTGGCCTCTCATGCAGACATTTTGGAATGAGCTTACATTCCTAGTTGAAAAAAAGTCTGGCCAAAAAAGATTAAATAATGAAATGTCAAGTTCTGACACTCTAAGGCCAGTGAATGCTTTGG